GCGCACATCAGTAATGTGACGAGCTTCCAGAAACGACATAACCAGAAGGAGTACATGTTCCAAACGAGCTCGATGGCGAAGCTCACCTGGATCGACTTGGGTGCGGTAAGGACCGCTGGCTCGGAGACTCCACCGAAAGTTCTGGCCCTGGGCTGTGGAGCTAAGGCGCATTGAAAAAGATATCGGCGCCAACCTGAGCTTTTTTCGGGGTTCGACTCGTACTGCCGTGGGAATCTCAGCCGGAGGGGCCCAAAGATCCGGGTAGGTGTCGCCATCAGGATCGATCCACTTCCTAAGACAGAATTCTGAGCAATCGCGACAAGTCAAGCACAAAGAGAGCCATCAAGCAAAACAAGGCCGGAGAGCTCGATGACGTTCATGAGAAAGTTTCCAGCAATCAATGCCGCCACGGTGAGCTGTACTCGCAAGCCTGTGTACCTGTCGGACTGCCGGGGCTAACTCGAAACACAACGAGCATGCGGCCAACATGATTTAACCTATGCGTGAACAAACCCGGCGGGGCACGCAACGGCAGATTGTCGCTGGTACCTCCAGAAGCCTCGCGCGGAGCCACTGGACCAGGAGGACTAGACTGATGGAGACTGGCTGCAACTCATTTGCCACTGCCGTGCGGCGGCAAGTCCAGCGCTGCCTGCGCCAGCGTTTCCACACCACTCAAACACATGGCATGTCGCTCGGAGACCTCTGAAAAAAATCACCGCCACAATGGGCGCCTGGGACTTGGACTTCTTCAGGGCTGCCAAAGCCGGCTGGGAGGCTTCCGACTTGGGAGAGTCGTTCTCAGCAGCGTCGCGACGGCGAACCTCTGAGAAAAGGAAGGCGCAGGCACTCGAACCTTCGACGGTTAAGCGCACTTGACACCCTCTCTGGGGCAGACTGCAGCGGCGATGGCAGCCGCCATCCCGCCTCAGCCTCCGCCGTCTCGAAACAAAGAAACGGCGAAAGGCCCCGCGGGACCAAGGCCTGGCTCAGCTCCTCAAAACCCTCATCGTCGAGGGCACCAGGGGCCGCAACGGGGGCGAACCAGATCAGAACCTTCGAGCCCTCTGGCCGTGGCCGCGGCCCACATGCAAAGCCTTCAAGGCGACTTCGAAGACAGGCATGCTGGCGATCTCCCTCATTCTACTTGCTGACTGCAAACGATGCTCCACAACATGATCACGTCGGTACAACCCATGGCCCTGATGGGGTGTAGGGTTTAGGGATGGTTAAGTAACATGATTGCCTTCTGGAACGATTTCGCATCTTGCCTTGTCATACTGTGTATTGCTGGACGATCAGCCCATGACATGACTCTTGTTGCACGTGTACACTTCCCTTGCATTCAGACGTGTTATATTGATGCACGCCCATCAAGAAATGTGAAAGCACTAGCTCTATTCTAGGTTCTTGATGCCTTAGCGCATTTCTGCATTTGCATAGTTGTTTGCACTGCGTACTTCTTCGTTGGACCGACATGGGGTGATAGTGCTACCACGCTACATCACTGAATGATTCGGTCGATTGTGCAACTGCTTTGTATATACATCGTTCGACTAGATTAGATTAGATCAGATTAGCTAAGATAAGATAAGATAAGATAAGAT